GTTATATCGTTATCGCAAATTTTCAAATATATATCGTGATAAATATTTTTGGCCATATCGCCCTGCTCTACTAGAGACCACAACTGTACATTATGAGCCAAAAAAAAGAAAAAAACAGTGAAAAAATAATGAATAATCAGAAAAATGCCATCATACTAAAATATATCTCAGGAAGTGTAGTAGATTTCCAGGACTTACCAAGTTCATTCCATGGTATTTTGAATGACAGATAATTATTTTTGGATGGTGCATTATATCACTTTCTCCCAGTTGGCCTGAAGGATTTTATTGCATACCTTTGGTCCTACACAGGTCCAGCCCAATTTTGAGTCAATGCCCTTCTGGTAAACAGCCTGGAATTCAGCCAAGATCGCAGGGTAGTTGGCTTCCAAGACTTCAATGTCATGTCGATGAGCGTCACGTGGGAAGAAAGGCACACTTGGAACATCTGGCAGAAAGAAGAGATGAGGCTTCTGTATAGCAGAGTGATCATTCAGTCTGACCTAAAGTGAGACAAATGAAAAAGCTGTGATTATTTCTTGGCAGAGTTTTCTTTTGGTTTTTTTGGCTTCAAGAATGCAGCTGTAAATCTTAAACCATTGTGGAACAACTCTTGCAATCCACTTGGAAGCATACCTGCTCGCGGAGGCCCTTATGAATGCGGCCCATGCCCACCCAACTGTAGCGTTTGGCATACTGCTGCAGGGCTGTGTACAACTTCTTGGCTTCTGCAGATGCCTGGGCAGGGAACAAGGCATGACTCAGCACTGGGGTGAGGTAGCCCTGTCCCTGCTCATCGTCTTCCACTGTTTCCATGGAAATAAAGGGACTAATTTGATCGCTCCTGGACAGCTTGGATCGTGCACTGCACTTTGTTCCAATACAGCTACCGCTACGGGACATCATGGACCTCCTTGAGCTTGACTTGAGCTTTCCAGCATGCGCATGGCCTGGGATTGGCAGATCGGAGCCCATCCGATAACAGTGCCAAAGAAACAAAAGCAGTAGAGTCCACAGAAGGCCGCTCAGTGATTGTACACCCAGCTCCATATACGGAGTCAAGGGAAGCGTGTTCATTGACCAGTGCATCCTTTAATTTTTGGAGACACTGAAATAATAAAATAGAAACAGACTGAGAGATAATACAACATGTGTAATTTGGCAAAGTTCTATTGCTACTTTACTTCTTTTATGAATTTAAGGAGTTTTACAGATGCCATCACACTTGCACTTTTTACTTGCACTTTTTGCATGGTTATGTTTTTAATTAAAGTGGATTCGTGTATTTTTTTTTTTATTTATGGAACAAAACAACAAGAAGATTTTTCCCACAGTTCTGTTTTTCTTGCAGTCCAAAGCAAACAAAAGACCGTCCTTGCCCAACCTATTTTCTTTATCGTAATCCCAGTTCAGCGCCATGGGGATTGAGGTCGATGTCAGAGTGGACTTGAGAGTGGACATGTAGCTTTGGATCACTGGGTCACTTACCCCCCCCCCCTTTTTTTTTTTAAGTTGGAGGCTGACATGGTGTTACATAAGACCTGATCTGTGACCCAAATTAGCTGTGGATTTCACTGCAGGCTGTAGGCACATTAAGGTCTTGTGACTACAAAGTTTAGCTTTTACTTTGAATTCACGGAACTTTTGAAACATTTTTATGTTATGTTTCAATATTTATCTATTAGTTAAAATATTAGTATTGCATGACTAGTGCAACTGTTGCACTTGGCTTTTGGGGTGTGTGTGTGTGTGTGTGTGTGTGTGTGTGTGTGTGTGTGTGTGTGTGTGTGTGTGTGTGTGTGTGTCTTTAGAAGATTCAGTAAACAAAGTGTCGGGGTTTGGTCATATTTCTGCACATTCGTTTAGCCCTCACATGTAGTGGAAGCACCCCGTGCTGCAGCACAGACACACACCATAAATGTGTTTCATGATTTGTGGGTGATTATCTTGCGCATGCTTCAGCATACATTTTTGGTTTTTTGGTTTTTTGTTTTTTGTTTTTTTCCTCTGCACCAGCCCCCACAGCTCGGCTGGCTTGTTTACTGCCCGTGTTCCATGTTGGAGCAAACATCCACCCATTCCAAGAATCGGCGGCTGAAAATGTTCGCCATGCACACGGTACGACACATGCAGGCCTTTAAATGAATAAACATACACTATTTACCGTGCCGCTTTTCCCGTCCCTGTCAGATTACCTTGATAAAGGCTACAACGCAGCGCTGTGTCGGGACGCACTTCAGCACCGCGTCGGTGGACAGCTCCTCCACCGCTGACAGACAAAATGTGGTGGGGAGCTTCGCGGCGCTCTGCAGTTACAGCATTTCGCCGCTAGGGTGCACCTGGCGCTTCAACGCAAATGCCCTCACATCATAGCCGAATGCGTCAACCACACGGTAACCAGCCAGGGGCATCTCACCAGCGCAAAGCCCGCCGTATTTCGGCCTAAAGCAACAGGATACTTGCCAGGATAAAGAATACTTAAACGCCGCCTGGAAGACAAAGGTAAGTGGTAGGCACGTTTAAGCGCTGCTGAGATGGTTGCTGGTCTCACTGTAGCGATGACTGGTGTCAAAAATCGTCCTCCGCACAAAAGAGGGCCGAGGGAGGTGCGAGAGAAGCTGCCTCGCAGAGCCCCATCATTTTGTCACACACCAAGCTGGCATTTTCACCGAAGGAAACGCCTCGAATAGCAAGAGGAGGTTATTTTTTTTCCTTTTTTCCTCTTTTTTTCACACATTGCAGTGAACAAGTATCATGTTCAAATTGGGCAAGCAGCGATCACAGGCTCGCTCGCTTTTTTGGAATAGCGCATTTTCGGCATGTTGTTGCAGATTTGAATGAGAAAATGCAGAGGGAAGGCTGAATATTTAACCTTATACCTTGTGCGACGTGTGGGCCTACCTGGTTTATTTCTTCTCCACATCAACACCTGTAACAACAGCCTTTAATAAATAGACATTTACGCTTCTACGCTTTATAAAACGAAATGGCTTTTGAGATGAGATTTTACGGTATCGCGGTGATGTTCCGATCCGAGTGGCCTGTGATGTAAACATGTGCTGAATTGCGACCGAATTTGCTGTGATTAACAATTTGTTATTCATTACCACTCCTGCGGATTAAGCCTCCTGCAGCCATCATAAGCTAATAATAATCATTACAGTAACCTACAAAATGCAGCCGCCTAATTACATGATCACATGACAGTTTACTAATCGATCCGTTCATTTTAACCTTCCCAGGTCATCCATAACCATGGGGTTCACTCGCCTTGTGACGCTGTCTGTCACAGTGATCCACCTAGTTTCAGGTAACAGTCTATGTTTGTGTGTGTATGTGGTCTTAAATGTGTATTGTTACAGCAGACACATGGTGGACTGAGATATTTTATTTCTTGCATATTTAGGAAAAATAATGTCTTTTCTCCCTTTTGCTGTAAATAGCAGCAGCAGCAGCAGCAACAACAACAACAACAAAAACTAACTGTGTGCCTCTTCCAGGGATGAGCTTTATGACTCCTGAGCCTGATACACCCCCAACATCCCCCCCAGACTCCTACCCACTGGGCGACATGATCCATGCTGCCCTGCAGAGTAAGGAATACTTGGGACGTGCTTCTGCAGACACAGGTACACTAATAATGCTCTTTATATAGTTTAATTAATGCAGCTATAGTAATTGTACATTGGAAATGACACACATTTAATCAAACTCTTGGACTCTGCAGGTACCACCACCAATCCGACTCAGGCTGCACCCGGGATGGGGCAGACTGAGTCAACAGCCACTGCCATGTCACCAGGGCTGCTGACAACAGCTTTAAGCTCCTCTTCAGCTGCTAGCCAAAAGGGATCGAGGAATACCATGTCCCCGCTACCCATAGAGGAGGAGACAACTACCACTCTGATTACCACAACCACCATAACCACAATGCACATGCCAGGTAATTGTGTTTTCCCATCTTCCCTCCCCTGAGTCTTGTTTGTTTTGCGATGTGATGATCCACAGCAACTGCAAGTTTCTACTGAATCCAATCACAACTTCAACTTCTCTGCTTCACTTTCAAGAAGATTTTGCCACACAAGGTAAATGTAAATATACTTTTTGTTTTTTTTAAACAGTCTTTAGTGACTCAATGTTCATGCTTAAACTTTTGCATTTAACTAATAATAATGTAAAGTAATGCTATGACACATATTCAGATCCACAGATTTTTTTATATATAAGGAATTTTAGCTTAGTGCTAAAGAGAGAATATTTTTCCATTTTCAGTAACAATAGAAGTGCAGTCAGTGCAGACATCTGTGCATGATTCTGGTCTAATTCCTGCAGCAATACTGTGCTTCCTTTGTTTCTACATTTCAGGATTCGTGACACAAAGGAATGAGTGTATACACTGAATACTTGAGAAGAGGCTGATGAAGTGTACTCCTACTTACCTGTTTGATGTTGAGAGTGGGACCACCTGTTGTCTCTGTCGCTCTTCAGTAATCCCAAAGCAAAGCAAAAACAGATTGGTTTACCAGCCCAGATTGTTTTCAGATGGGGTTTTTTAGCCAGATCTATCAATAATATGCCTTCCAAGGGCTTGTGTATCTTTGTATCTGATGGTTAGTATAGGAATGAATGACAGTGAAGAAAAGCTGGATAAACAGGCTGTTCATCCTCTCAAAATCTGGAGAGATGCTCTTAGCCTGTTCCTAATTGAATCCTGGACAAAGATTTTCCTCCACCTAGCTCCTTTTTTGATGTACACTGATGATTCAAACTAATAAAAAAATAAGCTTGAATATTGTAAAAAGGCACTCAGGTTTAAAAATAAAATCAAAATGCCTTTATTTTGAAGTAAGGAAGGTAGATTTAGGCTTAAATTTAGCTTTATTTTGCACAGGGAGTGCCTTGACTTTTTTTTTTTATTTAAGCACCTCAAATAGAAATGGGTTGAATCCAGGAAGTGCCCCTTCTAAAAAAAACATTTTTAAAGCTCATGTAATATTTATTATAATTATGTCATTCACAGAGGATAACAGAGACCTTGTTGACTGGATCTGTGATTCTTTGAAAAAAATAAGATGTGAAACCTGCACACTGCAAATTAAATAAGTCATTTTTTGGTATTTAAATTGTTTAGTTACTCACTTTTGGCATGCATTAGATGATATGATAAACATTTAACACACACTCCTGTTTGTGCCATCGCAGGGATAGTGCCCACCTCAGTGACCCTCCACACTCACAGTGTCACAGCTTCTCTATTCTGACACGAAGGCAAATAACACTCAGCCTGAGCAAATAAACTGTAAGCGTAATGTAGCAAACATAGAGCAACTCAGTGTGAAGGAGCATACATGATATTTTAGCTGATTTCCATTCTTTTTTTGCGGCTCACAAGGAACTTCCCAGACAAGCCTCATTGAGACTTACACGCAAAATAAACTTAGTGGCTCCTTAGTGGTTTACACAGTTGCCAGAAAAGTGAAAGAGCCACAGTTTGATGCTTAGGAGTCACAAGTCCTTTGGGCTGTATCAGGAAAGGCAGCTGATGTAAAAATCTGCCAAATATCTGCTCTCTATGGTGAACCCTTGTGAATAAGGGAGCAGCTGAAAGTAGCTTAACATTTTAATATTAGTTTTGTTTAATAACTCCACAAAAACAGTTTATGCTTAGCAAGTCAGTTTAATTGCACTGAAAAAAAACCTCTAAATGTTTACGTCGGTACAAAGTACTTTGAGAATTATTCTTTATAGTATACAAAGGGGACTTGCATCTGGAAGGAGGTTATTGGTGTTGACTGTGTTCACTGTAACCAGACTAGTGTTAATAATGAAGTCTAATTCTACTGTTTATCTTCTCATTGTTGATGCAAAAAATAAATAAATGCAATAAAAAGTAATTGGTGAGCATGGAAATAACTGGAAAAAGCAACCGTGAACCTTGAAATACTGGTAACAGCACCTGTAAGAAATCATTGTCTCATGGCAAGCATGCTGATACAGGATGGTGAAGAGTGCACCAACATCCTGTGCAAATGATAGTCAGAAATGCACTTCTGTGGGCTCCGGTGCCCGTGAGACTCTTATTGGAGATGGATGAGATTCATACAGCAACAGCACAAACAAGAGTTTGGAAATTTGATTGAGCTGAAGGAGGGAGGTCAGCTGATTTACACCATATGTGGGAAGAGAAATGTCACAGAAGATGAACAATCTGTGAGACATGTGTGTTTTTGTCTGTGTGAAAGACACAAAGAGAGAGTGTGTTTGTCACCTGCTTCCTCTCGGGGTTTTATTAGGTCTTTAGTGTTAATTGGGATTTCAGCCTTCTGTCAAACATCTCTCGAGGAGCCTGGCAAAGGTGTCAAACATGTTCATTGCTTATTGCAACATTATCGCACATTTGAGCTTTCTGGGTAATGGGCTTATTTGCTTTCTGGTGTTGGCGAGTAATTGGAGATGTTTCAGTTTTAGAATAAATGTTACTAAGAAAAATATATGATTACATTCAAAAGGGGCTCCATTTGAATGTGCATAGCTGTAATTAACCTGAGTATGCCATCCCTGCAAACAGTCGACAAATCAGGTTGCTGTATAGTCCGACGGGAATACCTTTTAGTGGGCTTCAGCTGCCGCCTACAACTTTCCTGCTCAGTTCGAAACATTTGTCAGAAAAGTAATCAAAGAGTAACTAAATTAAATAAGTCACTGTAATAATTAGATTCATTTTTAAATGTTTCACCATTATTTGCACTTTAAACTAGTAATTTGTAACGCATGTATTTCAGAAGTGACCTTCCCAAAACCGTCGCTTTCTTGCTAAGAGTTGAGAATCACATTACATTAAATATGAGGCTACATAAGGATGGCTGCATTAAACAAGGTGCCAAAAACCACATGCCGTCTTTTTAGTGGGGTTTTTATAGTCCTTTACCCAGCGAGCAACCCCTTCTTTGTTTCTGTTCAGTCTTTGCCAAATAGATTGTGAAGCCTGTTTCCTCCCCAGAGATCATTTCTGTGTAAGTGGTCGTCAGTAATTTGATTTTACTGATGCGTAGCAGCGGTTTTTGTCAGTCAATAAAATTATTTAAGCCAAGGGAAACCAGCATATTATGTGTCACCCAAGCCAGTGCTTCACTGCATTTGTTATTAATGTCAGTTAATATTTACTAAACCAGCTGATGTACTGTTGCTGATAACTTGCACCACCTTATCATCCATTTCGCCTACTTTCAGACTCACATTTTACATCTTAAGAAGAGGAGTATTTTCCCTTTGTGTGGGATTAAAGTGTTTTTGTAATCACCTTTTACCAAATTAGAAATTTAATTTTCATTAAAGCAGACCCTTGCAATCATAAACACCCAGCACCACATTTATAAAGTAAGCAATCCTGTTGGTCTCTGCACACATTTAAAATTTTATTGATAACCACATGGCTGCTCATTTCAGGCATCGGAGTTGCAGTTTGATAAAAGATCTTAAGATGCTGGAACTTCTCTCATTTTCACTTAAAGAAGTCACTCTGCAGTTCTCCTCCAAAACACAGGTTACTGGAGTGCAACAAGTTCACATCTAGACTGTATCAGGCTGATCAGTCGACACACACTGCATCCTCTGGGATACTGACAATAAGTCATGATCAAAGAATGCTTTCACTAGCTGTGAAGATACCAGTTGAGAAAGAAAATGCAGATAGTATAAAACCTGTATATAAGTTTGCTACAGCTTTTCTGAATCATAGACTTTTCTTCACCTGCTCTGTCGCTCTTGTTTTACAGTTCAGTGCAACGCTACTTTATTAGCCATGGAGGATGTTGTTGAGTCTCCAGATCCCACAACATCTTCATCTTATTCCCCCTTGGAGTGCACCTACAGCATTACTGTGTACGCAGGTTATGGAGTGGAAATTCAGGTAATGTGCATTAAAATTCATAAACATCTTAACCAGCTATTTTTAAGCAGTTTATTGTAAAAAAAAAAAAAAAAAAAAAGCCCAACATGCTGCTGTTGATAAATTTGTCAGAAAGTGTTTGTTATGTTTAATTTAGACTCCATGATTCAGCTTTTCTTTTTGTAAGTGCAGCATTTGCAAACATTGTACAGACAATCGTGAGTTAGTTTAGGTTGTATAGTATGTCAGCAGATTCACTTCATGAGCTGCTAAGCTACCAGGAAAGTTTATATAACGACAGCAGACAAAAGAGGTGTCCTCTTTTTTCCCCCAGGTGAGAAAGGCTAACCTTTCCAAGGATGAGTCTCTAACAATCATGGGATACGGCAGATCAGGACCAGAGCTGTTAGCCAATGAGACCCTGATGAAACAGGGTCAGGTGATTCGTAGTACAACCAATCAGGTTTACATCCACTATCGCAGTCTGCGTCAGAGCAACCATGGCATGTTCAGCCTCCACTATCAAGGTAACTCAACCTCTTTCATAAGATAAGCAGAACATTTTTATGTCTCTAACGTTTCGCGCTTTCTTTCTATCTACCTTTATTTAGTAACATTAATGTGGTAAAGTGTTATGTGGCTGGAATAAAAAGCTTCATAAATACACAGTGAAACCACAGAAGCATGGTAGATGTTTCTCTCACTTTAATTTGCAGGTTTTAATTTAGTCACTGTCCTTTGAGTTTTAAAGTGAGAATGTCTCACCTGCACATTTTCATGTGCATCGCTTATTCTCTAAAGCCTGGCTTGTTTAGCCAGGAAACTCTGAGCTTTACGCTTTTGATTAAAATGAATGAAAAGATTCAAGGTGAATAACAAGTGTCAGTGGCATCTTGTTAAAAGCAACACCAGTGATGATAGCTGATAATTGTGCAGGTGATGAGACAGCCACCTGCTCAGTCGCGCCACCTTGGACATCTCTGTCTGTTTCTGTTTCTATTCTGCTACGTGATGATGATAGCATAACAGATATCTGAGGACTTAAAGATCACCACCTGATAGACGACTTATTAGAATGTGTTTGGAGTAAATGGCAGAAGAAAATTATGAATAAGAGATGTGCAGAGCGTACACAGTAGAAGTAAAAGAATAAAGTAGAGAGTATAGAGGAAAAAGATCTGCATTACACATTTAGCTAACTGGTTTGGACATACGCAAAGGTCAGGGGTTCGAATCCACTGAATGGCTACCCTGAGGTACACCTGAGCAAGGTATCGTCCCTACCTACCTGCATCCCCAGGCGCAGTTTGTCCAATTATTATTGGACAAAGATGAGATTAAGATGGAGCTGCGAGGAGGAGGAGGAAAAGAGGAAGATCATGTGGAAGGTTTGATGTAGTGGAGGAGGACATGCAGACAGTTGGTGTGACAGAGTAGGATGCTAGGGATAGGGTGAGATGGAGGAAGAGGAAATGCTGTGGCGACCCCTAAAGAGTTTAACTGTTAACCTTCATCAACAGCCTTCCTGCTGTCCTGCCCATTCCCAATGTCTCCTGAGGGCGGTGGAGTGACAGTGACAGACATCCATCCTGGAGGTCAGGCACACTTCCACTGTGATCCAGGTTTTCAAGTCCGCGGGCATGAGGTGGCGACCTGTGTTAACATGACGCAGCCACGCTGGAGCACTCCTGAGCCTCAGTGTGTTGGTTAGTGAACTGACTCAGACTTCTTTTAAATTTCCCACTGCCTCATCTTCTTTGCTAACTCTGTTGGTTTAAACCTGGTCAGCTTTGAGTTCATTTAAATGGATTTCATTTTCTCTCAGCCGTGTCTTGCGGAGGGTGGATTCGTAATGCGACTGTGGGACGGATACTGTCCCCACCGCCTCCATCAGTAAGCAACCACAGCAATGGAAATAATCTGAGCTGTCACTGGTTAATAGAAGCCAAAGAGGGACACAGACTCCACCTACACTTTGAGAGAATTGCACTGGATGAAGATGATGATAAGTAAGCCTGCGTTTTAACCACTTCACATATCGCAGAGTATGACATGGAGAATGCCCTCTGATTTAAAAAGATCACTGAGTACAACACTGATAACAAGTTTTTCTTTTTTCTTTTTACATTTTTGTGTTTAGCATTTGTTTTTCTCCAATATCAATTGTAGGAGTAAACTACCAACTGTGCTTTGTATCTAGCTTCATATTTTTTTCGAGGATTCAATTATACTGGCTTTCTCATAGTTACAAACACTCCTTATTGTTTATCTTACGCTGGCCATTTGTGTAGCCTTTAAGTTCGTCCTCTGTTTGAAACAAGCTCCTGTCTCTGTAAAAGCCCACTTTCTCTTGATTTGTTTGTCTCTCTTCATGCTTCTGCAAACAAAATCCTTTGCTTGCGATTACCATATAGAGTATCAAAGAAACACTGGAAACCAATGTTTTATGCAGTCTAAAGCCTGAGCTTTGGAATCATGAGGATTCATTTTGCATTCACTGGTGTCATTATTTGAAACTTTGGCCCTGTTTAATATGAGCATCCAGCACTGTAACAGTATGTGTGTGGCAGAAAATAAGATCAGCAGGTTCACTTTAATATTCAGTTGCTATTTTAAGTCATAGATAAAGCTCCCAGGTTCATACAATAATAATTTAAAAAAAACTTTTTAGAAATTTGCTATTTTCCCTTTTATTTTGCCTACGCTTGTTCTCTGAAGGTCATTCATCCATCCATCTCTCCATCCATCAATCCATCCGTTTTTCTATCCGATTCAGGGTCACAGGGGGTTAGCTGTCATAGAGCGAGTGGCAGGGCGCCATGGAGAGGTCGACAGTCAATCACAGGGCTAACACAGAGATAGACAGCAGTTCAGTCACCAGGCGGACTAATGTGCATGTGCTTGCATTGTGCGAGAAGATTTATATGTTTAGAGATCATTTTTAAAATCTCTCAAAATACTAGGCAAAGTCTCTCGCAGCACACTTTCACTTTGCAATAAAAAAGTAGCCAAAGCAAAAGACTTGTTCAGCCGCCTTCAGCCTGTGCACATTCCTGCTTTCCTTAAAGCGTTTCTGCTAACCTTTGTGGCGTCTTTGTGGCTCGTTGCTTTCAGGTTAATTGTGCGCAGTGGAAACAGTTCCCTGGCTCCGACGCTTTTTGACTCAGATATGGATGACGTCCCAGAACGTGGGTTGCTGAGCGAGAGCTCCACACTGTACCTGGAGCTCACAGCTGATTCTTCTTCCATCCCTTTGCTGCTGGCGCTGCGATATGAGGGTGAGCAGAGAGAGCCTGCATCCTTTTTGCTTACATTAGGTATTTCCCAGGTTCAGCAAAACAAAAAGATGGTAGCAGAGTAGAGCATCCTTCTGACCCAATTTCTGTGAAATATATGGTACACAGGTCAGCATTGTGCCTGAGAAAAAAGCCAGAAATCATGCAAATGGATTCTTGGAGATTTTGTTAAATCTCAGTAAAGCCTTTCCCTTGTTAATTATTGATAATTCAGGAAAGACATGCATAATGAGCCACATGAATGCTTAGTCTGCCCACGTTTCAGTGGGATTTACTTTAAGGCTTTGAAGCGGCTCAGTGCTGAAACTCTTAGCCTTTTACACCTGGGCTTTTTCTAGCCAAGATTTGAAACTGAAAAGTTCCCCAATAAATCAAATGAGGATGGCTGCTTAATTTTATCTAGAAGGAGAACAGCTCCCTGAATATCAAATGCCATGACGAGGAAAAACTCTGTGATCTTTATAAATGTGCACACGTGGTTTACTTTTTCCTTCGTCCTTTTTAAGCTTTCGATGATGAGCACTGCTGGGAGCCCTACATGCCTCATGGAAACTTCAGCAGCAGTGACATCACGTATCAGCTGGGAACCACCGTCACCTTCACCTGTTCTCCAGGCTTTGTCATGGAACAAGGTTCAGGGACCATTGAGTGCGTCGATCCCAGTAACCCTCACTGGAATGACAGCGAACCTGTGTGCAGAGGTACGTTTAAGGATTCATCAGTTTCATGTTGCAAGAGAAGATGGTAATGTTGACACTGTTTACTGATTTTCAGTATAATAATATTAAACCTTTCATACTGTAAAGCATCTTTCGAAACAAAAATATAAACTTTACTTATTCTTGTTTATTTCTTATTTAGCGTGACGTAAGAAAATGTTTTTTGATTCATTGATAGTTAGGGCGAGTTGTGCAGAGATAAGCGTCTGAAGCTTTGAGATGTCATGTGTAGCCACATTGACTGTGTCATCTGCTGATCTGCCAGCATGCTGTGAAAACTGAGATTTAAAACTGGCAGAGATTTTGCACCGGGTCAGGGACTGGCTGAAAACACAGGTGCCAGAGTTTTATCTAAGCGTTAACGTGACATATTCTGAAAGCCAAATGCTGTGTTTTATTTCTGCTTACAGAAACCAAGAAGTAGGTTGTATAAATATTGATCCAGAAAGGTGAAATAGGAAATGTCAGGAGATTGGCATCCATGTGCCTGTTATAAAGTTATGGTTGTTTAGTCCAGGTCTTCATATCCTTGTTTTTCGCTCACTGAATTAGATTTGCAAATGTAGACTTACCATCCTGTATGTATGTGTGAAGGATGGTAAGTCTCATTCTGCATCTTCTTTTTTTTATCACATTTATTGAACGAAAGCTTGGACTCCCTCCATAACTATAGTTGGACGTGTGTCTGTGCAGCAACACAGTATAATGCCTCGGATTTGGTGAAGCTAGTGCTGGCATTTTACGTGAAGCCAGCACTAGCCTCAAGCACAAACTGAGCGTTTTCTTACAGGGGAAATGGTAGAACTGCACTCCATCATGGAGTCATTCACACACTCGCCTAAAACGCTGCATGTTTTCAATTTGGGAGGAGACAGATCCCTTTGTGGTTGTGTCAGAAACAATATTGCAGTATCCGGTGCCTGGCAAATCAAATATGTGGAGATACCCAGAGTGAGGGAGCAGCTGAAAGCAGCTTTACACTGAAATAGAAGTGCTGCTGAGTAGCCACTTCCCTACTGACATACTTTCTGAACTGTTTGTATTACATTTGTAGTTGCTGTGAAGTAATGAGGTAATAGTGTCAAAGCCATCATTCTTTAAAAGACTGAAAGTAAGCTAATGACAGTTTGCATTAAGCCTTCTGATAATAGTATGTGTAGTGAACAAAATGATTACAAAAGCATGTGCTTAGCCTGCTTCTGCAAATGTTTTTTAAAGTTTAATTTTATTTCTTTTCCTTTCTCCAAATTAATATTTCGTGTCTTCTCAATTTCCTTTTTATTTCTTTAATGTCTACTTTTCCTTGCTACAATTTAATCACTCTCTGTCTCCCAGTCTGCATCCTCACCTCAGTTTCTCTCCTTTGTTCTGCCCCATAAGCTTTGTGCGGAGGGGAGTTGACCGAGCCCTCTGGAACCATCCTGTCTCCTGATTGGCCCCAGAGCTACTCCAAGGGCTTAGACTGTGTGTGGCAAATCCATGGTAACGAGGAGAAACGCATTGAACTGGATGTCCAGATGTGAGTGATTAATTTGTGTCTCTTTTTAGTATTTGGAATGCATTTTAAAAATAAATTAGACTGCCTGATCCTTTATGTACTATAGAGTTTAATTATTCAATATTTTAAAAATGTCCACCCAAACTCAGGCAGGTTAGTATCTTCAATCTTAGATGTTTTAAACTTCTAGATTAGCTTCTAATTATTTACAGTATATAAAAATCTCCACATGCTGTTGAACTATGTCTCCGAGACATATTTTTTTCAGTAAAAGAAAATATAGACATCCATTCATCTGCTTCTTATAAACACTATATCTCAGGAACATCAGGGGGGGATTTCTTTGACATTTTTAAATATTGCTAACTATCAGATTTATTAATAAAATAATAGGATTTCACTCACCAGATACTAAAGCACAATCACTCTTAAACAATGTTTACAGCAGCAGGATATGTTGTTTGACAGGCGTTTCATTAAAAATGCCCCAAAAGGCGCCAGCTATTGGCTACAGCTGCTCGTGTCAGCACACCTGTCAGTCAAAGCAGCTGCGCCCCTAACTTTAAGCTTTAGTAGTCTATCCACAGAGGCCAAAATGCTGTTTAGCTGAACATTTGAACATGGGAATCAATGGGAAATGACTCACATTTTGGAGTCACCCTCAGGTGAGAAGTCGAAAATAAAACCAGCTTCTGCAGTGACTTTATTTTTTTAGCCTTAGAGGCTGCTGCTTGGGTGCACCCTGGACATGTCCCTAATCCATCACAGGGCTGGCACAGAGAGGCAGCCACACACACTCATATCCACATATAAGGCCCATTAAGAATTAGCTGTTAACTGCAGTTAACTAACTGCTTGAGGAAACCAGAGTACCTGAAGGAAACCTACATGAGCACAGGGACAGAAAGACTCCATTTTATAATTAAATCAAATCAAATCAAATTTATTTATATAACTTTATATCACAAATCAAAGAATTGCTTCAGGAGGCTTCACAGTCCATACAGCAAACAGCGTCCTCTTTCCCTAGGCTCTTAACTCAGATGAGGAACAACTCCAATTATTCTTCATACTGGAATCATTAATATGAACTGTACCTTGGTGTGTTGGCTCAGGCATACAAGCACAAAGCGGTAATTGTAGTTTACTAATTGTGCTTAATTTAATTTCTCCCTTAAAGTAATAGAGTTACAGCACACAGCACACTGAACTGACAATAAATTAAATGAGTATTAGAGAAAAATCATTTAATCAGCATCAAATTCACGTCACGAATGTCCCACAGGTCTTGGTTTTCTACTGTTGTCTTTAATCATGATCATGTTTATATTTTAATTCAAGTTACACTTTGTATCCATGGTACATGTGAAAATTGTTTTAAAACATTAAAAATAAAGCAGCAAACAAACAAGAAAAAACATATGTGTTAGAAAAAAGAATACAACACATAAAAAAGCTTATTTCTCCTGTGATTCTTCTCTTCACTCCGTAGTTTAAATATCCGTCACACTGATGTGCTGACCATTTTTGATGGGCGTGATCTCACGTCCCACGTGATCGGCCAGTACCTGGGGTCCAAAGAGCGTTTCCAGGTTGTTTCAGGGGGGTCTGAGGTTGCCATCCAGTTTCAGAGCGATCTGGACGACTCCAGCTTCATCCTGAGTCAGGGATTCCTCATTCATTATCGTGGTAAGTGCACTAATTGATGACTGTAAAAGTACACAATACAATATGGAGAAAGTCAATATGAAGAGCTGGTTCTGCCAGAGGTGTCTTCCTGTTAAAGGGGAGTTCTTTATTCCCACTGTTGCCAAGTGCTTGCTCACAAGCAGTCATCTAGTTGGATTATTGTGGGGTCTTTACCTTACAATTAAAAGCACCTTGAGGTGAGTGTTGTTGTGATTTGGTTCTGTATAAATAAAACTGAATTGAGTTGAACTGAGTTGAATTGAATGAGGGCTGCTGCCAGCAGGAAACAGATTTCAAACAGCTGCTTTTGTTTCTGTCACTGAATTGCTCCTCTGTCTGTGTTATGAAGAGGTCGAACCTAATGACACCTGCCCTACCCTTCCTAATATTGAGTTTGGCTGGATCAGCTCATCCCACTCCTCCCCCGTGAGAGGCAGCGTGCTGACCTATCAGTGCCAGCCGGGGTATGACATCAGCGGCTCTGACGTAATCACCTGCCAGTGGGACCTGTCCTGGAGCAGCAGTCCGCCTACCTGCGTTAAGGGTAAGACGAACAGTGTGAAAAAGAGCCAAGCCCTCTGAGGGAGAACCCAGATCATGCAAACTGTTTGTAGTTCATCACTCGCAGAGCATTTCCAGGATTTTCTCTGAAGGTTCTTAAAAGTCCTCTTCCCTTTTCTTCCCTTCTCCTAACAGTTTTCCACTATTGGAGCTCTTTTAATAGTGTAGATGGTTTTAGAAGAACGTTTATCTTTACCAGGGTGTAGTCCTAATTTTATGGAAAAATTCAACATTTTGTAATTCTTAGGAGTTTCTTAGAGGTTAAATAAAAAATAAATAAATAAATTTCCTTTTTTCTTTTTTTGTTCCTTTTTTGTTGTTGTTGTGTTATTTTTAAGAAATGGTTTGACACTTTGTTACATGTGGTTGTAAGCTTTCACCTGAAGAGTCATATGAAGAGCATGGTAGCTTGAAAGGTTTTGAATGAATTCTGATTTTTTTAAAAGATGTAGAATCATGATAAAAATCTATTTAAATTTGGCTTATATCCAGAAAGGTCTTCAAGGTCAACTCAGTCATTTATTAGTCAAGATTTGGCAAAACTTAACAAAACGTAGGAACTATTATTTTTACAATATGGTGTGTTTTGTCAACGTATAGAAAGTATATGTTGAATACTTTCTGTACGTTGACAATATTTAAATTAAATATTTAAAATAAGTCACATTTGACCTCTGAGCTCACCTTTAAATTTTACATCTGCTTTGGACTCGAGTTGAGTCCAAAACATGTCATATATTCAAAGAAAGTACTGTCACAAGAAAGATAATCAGCTGCCTAGTTAGTTAGAAATATACTGTAGCATAGTCATATATAATAACCTCATATTGTTTGTGTCCAGTAGTTTATAAATCTAATTTTGCCCCCTACAGTACAGCAGTGCCCTGACCCAGGAGAGGTGGTAAACGGAGCACGCTCCGTGCGCCCCGAAACAGGCTTTGCCGTTGGTACAGTGGTTCGTTTCTCCTGTAACCAGGGTTATCAGCTGGAAGGTCCCAGCCAAATCTCCTGCTACGGACGAGACACTGGTACCCCCAAATGGAGCGACCGCAGCCCAAAGTGTGTCTGTAAGTGCCCTTCCTGCACTCAGCTGACCTCGTCTATTTATGAAGCTTATTTCTGCATGTTTTGAATCAGCTGCACGTACGTGACTGTCCTCTGTGTGTTTTGTGTGCCGCGAACAGTAAAATATGACCCATGTCCAAACCCTGGAGTCCCCGACAATGGTTACCAAACTCTTTACAAGCACACCTACCAAGCTGGAGAAACTCTGCGATTCTTCTGTTATGAGGGCTACGAACTTATCGGTGAGGTCATCATCAGCTGTGTTCCCGGTCATCCATCTCAGTGGAACAGCCCGCCGCCCTTTTGCAAAGGTGAAGCTCACCACTATGGATCTTTATTTTAAACGTTGTATTAAGATTAAACTGACTAGATTCAAACTTTATAAATTATTAGTTACCTGCAATTATTTTGTCAACTATATAAAAATATAGCATTGAGCTCCTGAACGTTTAAAAATATGATATTTTATCTCTTTCTTATTTTGAAGTGGCATATGAGGAGCTATTGGATGATCACAAGTTAGAAGGTAATTTGTTTTGTTTTTCTCTCTCTTAAATACATTGTTTAAACATGCTCTTTAAAACAAATACATATGGGATTTTAATTTTAAATGCAATTGCACCTGGTATTTTTTCGATTTGATAAATATAACATATAAATGTGGTGATTTAGCACCTTATTTTTGTTGTGTTTGACAGTTTAGGCTCATAACCAAACCAAAAGCTAATGTAACACTTTTGATTGGTGTGCAGTGTCCCAGTCATTCCAGCCATCCCATCAGATCCTGAGTGAGAACATTGCTTTGGCAATAATTCTGCCAATCATCCTGGTCATCCTCCTCATTGGAGGAATTTACATGTACTACACAAAGTAAGTATTTCCACATCTGCAGTGTAGACACTACAACACTGCTTTCCAAATGTTCTTGCGCTGAATAGTTCATGGAGGTGGTTGCATTTTGTCTTTCACAGCATCTGCAGACTAGAATGGAAGCCACACTTCTGGAAGTCTCTTTCTCACACGCACTCCTACAGTCCCATCACAGTCGAGTCAGACTTCAACAACCCCCTTTATGAAGCAGGGGTAAGTACACGGAAGGTGCTGCTTAACATTATTTATTCCACTTGATTTTAATAGAGATCTGACTGAATGACTATTTTATTTGTGCATTCAAGGTGCATGCTCACCGATCACTTTATTAGGTACAGATGTTCAGCTGCTAGATAACACAAGTATTGAATCAGGTAATCATATTGCAGCACAACTCAGTACATTTAGGCAAGCAGACATGGTCAAGAGAACCTGCTGAAGTTAAAACCGAGCATCACCAAAATAGCTCTGGTCTAATAGAGAGGTGACAGTAACTGAAATAACCACTTGTTAAAAGCAAAGTATGCTAAATGTAAGTTGTACCTAATAAAGTGTCCAGTGAGGATATGTCAACGCCATATCCAACATTAAAGTTGGTCCTCTGTTTTTTACTTTGACGACAGGATACGCGGGAGTACGAAGTGTCCATTTAGTGGAGAAAGGGTCTTGAAACCATCGAATGATTCAATTCTTTGGGAAGACAAATTCCTCTGTATTATAAGGTCTCACTCCCCCTTTTAAAGTCTGGATTATGTTTCTGTTTTACCATCACTGTAATATCTGGTTTATTCACCTTGGATATGATTTCTTCTGATTTTCTGCACTGATGTGGTGGTCTGCCAAATGTGAGTCCTATTTCATCCTCTATCATTAGGACCGGTGCCTTATAAAGGGTAAGAAATTGTCAACAAAGAAAAACAAAAAAGCGAGAGTAGAGCTGGAGAGCGGGGAAGGGTAAAGGGAAATGGATTTGTCTAGTTAGTAAAAACAGAATGAGGCCAAACATTAAAGAACTTGGCAATACTTTATTTGTAACAATCAAAAGTTGAGATCATAATACATCCTGTGTTTCTCTTGTATTTTTAAAGCGGTTCGTACATCATTACAGTACAGGGAAAGAATTGTTTGATTTTATCCTGGAAAAAAAGTGATTTTCTCTTCTTTACTTTTTCTTCGTGTGTGCAAAACACTCTCTCTCATACACACGCGCGTGCACACACACACACAAAATGAATGTAAATATCTGACTTAATAGTGACTGAGGTTTATAAATATATAAGCCTCGTATACAGATATATATACACACACTTATACATGGTGGCGGGAGGTTATATATTTTCATTATATACATATAATGAAAATTCAGTGCCAAAATATAATGTTAAATTATTTAATGTCTCTAAGTGTTTCATCTGTTGTTGAAATAGTGTTTACAAAGGCAGTGTTTATTTTATTCTTCGCTGTTTCTCGAGTGCATCATCACCCGACGCCACACGACATGACGTGTAAGAAAAAGGTGAGGACATGAATGTCATTATGCTTAGAGCATGCACTGATTGTAAATTATATTGCTTATGCTCAATCTTTCCATTACCATTATAGTTACTGACAGCTATCATTGTTATCAAATTTGATGTTGTATGCACTATGTTGATAAAAACAATTACAAATCTGGCTGCTTGCTGTGATGCATTATGTGTTGATTTACAAATGATTGTTTGAAAAGTGAATGTAGTCTCATTCACTGTGCCAAATGAAAGGATCTTGGAGACTGTTTCTGATCTTTGTAGATTTAATTATTCTCTTATCATCAGTAGCATTTCTTTGCTTCATATATGAATACACTCTTTGGAAGGCAGTAAATTATTTGCTGAACTGGAAATAAAGTCTCTGTTGAATGGTGTCAGCTTGTAGAAATGTGCAGTTATTTTCTTGTGGTCACAACACATTTACACATACACAAATGTTGAAGTCTATTAATCATATTAGTAAGAAATACAACTTAAGTTTTTAACTGAGAAACACAATATAAAGCTTTCCAATACTTTAGCTTTCACCAGTTTCATTAAATTTCATTATTTTAATATAGAAATTGTCTTGAAATAGTGATATTAATTTTATGGGTTATTCATTTAAAATTGGTCATGCTCTTGACTTATAAGCTAAGCCATATTGAAAAGTATGTCAATACACAAAAACAATTATGTGATTATTTTAACACTGGATTTATCCACATTAATTATACATATACAGCATGTAAGCTTTGTAAGTCTGTCATTGTAATTTTTCGTCCCTCAGGTTGTGGTATGTTTGTACATAGTGTGCAACTTGAAGTGGCCTGTCACTGTCTCTGAGTTGCATTGCAACTCCTGGAGAGAGGAGAATGTGGTGTTATAGTCTGTGAAAAATAAAACTATAGATCTGAATTTGTTAATGTGAATGTTTTACATTGTAGGAAGACCTGAAACTCTGAGTCAGACCCAGTTGTCAGTGTCCAGTGAACACGCATTGTACTTCCCTTTTGGTATATATCATTGTTCCAAGTACCATAATCATGTTTATGAGCATACCTATATTTTAGACCCGTTATTTGCAGTGTAACAAATGCTGGTCACTGGCCCAGGTTAAAGAGATTAATACAGACATCTTTAAAACAATCATTCCATCCACTCACCAAACACTTACAGGCAGTTTAGAATCACTTTTATTAACCTAAACCCACTACCCGCATGTCTTTGTTCAAAACTCATCGAAGAGCAAACAACAGAACGGATAATGTATTGTTGCAGTTCCTCACTGTGACCAGTAGATGGCAGTGTATACACGGCCTAAGGCTCAGCTATAACAGAGACGCTCACCGGTCCCGAAAGAAATAGTAATTTTAATATATTTTTAGAGAAATTCTGTTGTTCTGTTAAAAAGAGAATAATATGAATGTGTGGTAGTCTATGACAACAAGTTAGTGTAAGCACTAACCACTTGCTCGATAGGTGGCAGTCATTCGATTCAAAGATCGGTTAAAAGTAGAAGAAGAAAATAGCGGAAGAAGATGTCTAGTTTCGCTTCCGACTGACCTATTTAGCTTATCATACTAGCTGCAGTTTTGTGCCCAACAGTGAAATTGGAGTGGATGTGGAATTCGCGTTCTTGGTCACTAAGCGGTACAGAGCAAATGAGCATTAGTAGCTTAAAGCGTGACGGAGTAGACTAGCTGCTGTTAGCCTCGTTCCTTTAGCTGTGCGATTAAAATGAGGCGTCAGATGTTAGCTGCGCCGTAAATTCACCTGGCCTCTTTACAGAAGCTAGCTAGTTGATTAACGATTGCTGGCTAATTAAAGCTATATTTTTAGTTTTGTTAGCTTAGATAGGTTCACTCTCTTAACACCTTTGGATGTTCAGTGTGGTAAGTACAGTTTATTATGAGCTAGCTCAGTGTAATTTCAGTTTAATAGTCCGATATGTCAGCAGCTGTCATATTACAGTAGACGTCAGTCAGGGGTGTCATTTGAGGTGCCTCATGTGACTGAAAGTGTTTATGTTGTCTAATCAATGGCTGTCAGTAACGCCTCAGGGCTTTATGTAAAAAGGGCTAGTCTGAATCAGTTTGCTGTTTGGGAAAAAAATGGTCATTTGATCCTAATGTTTTGTCCTGATAGATGTTCAAAATCAATCATTACAATAAACAAAGTGGATGTGGCTGAGAAAATGATGTGATTTTAGTACAGGTTTAGAGGTTTGGTGACAGTTGTAATTTGGCCCCTTTTTTAAAAAAAAAAAAGAAAGAAATCTAAACACCCACACGGTGTATTAATGTCATAGTAACACAAAGATCAGCTGAAACTCTTTTTAAATTCCCCACCGTGATTAATGATTAAGGTTATTATAGTTCACTAAAACTAGATATGAGGAAAGGAATATTTTAGTTAAGTAGATTTAAAAAAAAACCAAAAACAAACAAACAAACAAACAAAAAACACTACTTTCACCCACACTGCTTTGAAAAAAACAATGTGTTTTTATTCTAATATTTTTATTTTCTTAAATGTTGCATCTGGCATTTACTCTAAATACAATATTACTTAAAAAGATGTCAAACAGAGACTAATACAATTTTTTCGAAGATTAAAACTAAATGAAAAGTAATTTGAAAATATAAAACTATAATAACCCTGTTAAGTTAATAGGTCTATCTATTTTACTTATGCTCACACCCTCATGAGCACTTACTCCATTTCCCAGTGCACTTTGTTCTGACTTGAATTTTTTTTTATATTCGTCATTATATGTGGCTTCTATAGACACAGATAATCATAACATCAGCTACAGAGCAGAAAGAAAGCAGAAAGTAGCTCAGATACAAAGCTATTCTCCTAAAGTCTAAGAGCTATTATGTTACTCTCAGTTAAGAAGCAGCTGAAATAGGATAATTATCAGCAGTGGCATAAATAATATAAGATTCTTGTGTATTTCAGTCAGAAAGTGACTCTTCAACCCCATGTCTGCTGAGGCTTCAGTCGGCAGTCATGCTGCCGACTCTGCCCAGTCCGCTGTTTCCCAGCCTGCCTGCCTTCACACAGATGAGCACAGGAACCAGGGTCTGCTGGGGAGCAAGTACATCAAGTTAAATGTTGGTGGCTCATTGCATTATACAACCATCCAGACATTAAGCAAGGAAGACAGCCTGCTGCGGAGCATGTGCAATGGAGAAACTGATGTTACCATAGACTCAGAAGGTGGGTGGATGTATCTCTTTGGTGAGCACTAAGATTTTGAAGACTGTGTTGTTGATATCAGGAGTTTTAACATGATGTTGAGAGTTTGAGGCAGGGTTTTATGCAGTTATACTTAGGGATGCGAATAGATAAGATTTTCACGATTACGATTCAGTTTTCGATTCTGTTTAACAGTTTGATTCTTTATCGATTCTCTTATTGATTCTTATTTTTTAAAAAAAGGAGAACACTAAGGTCGGTTAGCTTAGAACTTTGTTTCATAACTTCTTTTTGAAGAAGATAGAAATTTAGGAGTAACATGGCCTTACAAACCCAACAGTGAGATCTTAAGAGATCCACAGCCTACAGCTCTTCAATGGGGTGTCACAGGGTCCCCAGAGAAAAAAAATGTAAATGTAAAATAATAAAATAAATATTCTTCTGTAGCAGTAACAAAGTATACCATAAATTATTCTGTAGCAATTACACAAGAATACCCAGTAATGTCCAGATTGCGCTAACATAATATGCACTGTTAGTTGATCATTTACCTGCTGCATTAACGGGAGAGGACGTGCAAACGTTACCGCTGCTGCTGGGTTGAGATTCACGAGTCCGGAGCGGAATTAAAAACACGACATTCATTTAAGGTTATCGTGTGTTTTGTGAGAAAATTCTTTTGCATATTCGTAGTGTTTCCTCCCTTAAATGAAATATCTACTTTGCAAGTATTGCAAGTTGCCCTGTTGTCATCCGTTCTCGTAAAGTATAACCAAACTTTTGGGCCACTTAGGCGCCACGTTTCCTGCCAGGTAAATGAAGCTCCGCAACGTGGTGACGTCATTCGGGGCGACTGGAATCGATAAGGGAATCGTTTGCAAAAATGCCAACAAGAACTGGGTTTCGATACCCATCCCTAGTTATACTTATTTCCAGAATTTAATGATAACTCTCAGTTACTGTGTATTCTCTAAGCAGAATCTAAAACGGAAGTTGTGTCAAACGGCTGTTGCAGTATCCTGTCACCAAGACTTGCACTGTATAGAAGGTGTAGGGTTTATTTTACGTGAGGAGACCTAAAAAAAAATGGGCTTGACTTGAACAGAAAGTCTTACACTTTGGAAGTCATTCAGTTTTGCACCAATTCAGCCAAAATCCTTACAATACTGATGTGTTAACCTCATATCCATCACTTATTGGTAAATACAGCTGTCAGGTTTCATTTTCTTTAAGTTGTTTACACTTCTGCAGCGTTCACATGTTGTCGTTCTTTTCATCTTGTAAGCATTTATAACAACCAAAACAAAATAATTAATAAATGAACGATCACTCACATCATGTGCAAATTTGCAAAATTCCAAAAAAGGCCATTTATTACTGAGATAGTCCTTTTTTGTATATGTCTATACTCTCTTTCTATATCTATCCATTAAGGGTGCAACGATATTCGTATCGATATTGAACCGTTCGATACAGTGCTTTCGGTTCGGTACGCATATGTATCGAACAATACAACATTTGTAATTTATTTTATCAACTTTCCTTCTGACGATGCTGTCTGTGTTGAGCGCTCAGTGAATCTGTGTTCGACTACTCCGCCTAGGCTGCACTGTCGAGCGCAGATCCACTGAGCGCTCCACACAGACAGCATAGTCAGAAGGAAGAGCGCAGGGCAAGCTAGCGAAGACAGAAGTTAAGCTCTCCTTGCAACATGCAAATTGAACCTCCCCCACCCTCATTCAGATCTGGCGTTTGGAATTATTTTGGTTTTCATGTGACATATGACCCTGAAGGTAAGCGCGTCATGGACTAAAGTAAAACAGTATGTTGGATGTGCCATGCAATGCTTAACGAGGTTAACCTGAAAGCACTAGTGGGAACACAACGAATATGACTGCACATTTACGCCGACATCATCCTAGTGCAAAGACAAAAACAACAAGCATGCATGCTACAAACTTTACCCGAGTCATTTAGACAGCCGCTGTAGCACATGATTCTCCTTATGGCTGTATATACTGTAGAATATAGCCCAGAAGAAGCGATAGTATAGCTTTTATTTTGGAAAGAGCATTTCTCTGTAATAAACTCTCTTTTCCAAAGATGAGTGATTCCTCAATCAGATACAGGGCTCGCAATAATCGCTAGCCCGACGTCCTGGGGCTAGCGATTTTTTCAGTCGGGCTACCAAAATCTATCTCTGCCCTGCCCGTCGGGCTATTGTAGGAAGGAAAAATATATGTCAATGCTTTTGCATTCTTTCGGAAATGTAGCTGGGTAATTATGTCATTGGCATCGGTGAGCCACTGTCAATATGTGACATATTGAAATCGCGTTTGAATTTGCGCTTGTTTTTTTGCTTTCACTTTGCAATCGCGTAACTGTGTATAGAGAGCGACAGCACTGATTGTGAGTGATGATAATTTGTGCACCAATTCCTCTGACATCGTCTTATCAATCGTTAGCTTACTATGCAAACATGACAAGTGAAATCTCCCGCAGCTTAAACATGTGAGAGGTTGATCGCGCAGAGAATCGCTGAGCTTATGTGAGTGCGTGTGTAAAAGCAGCAGGATATATATTTCAGTTCTGCTGAGCCAAATAAGACAGGTCAGGGTGAAGAAGTGACAGCCAAAGAAAAGCTTACCACAAAACGGAAAAGTTATGACAAATCAGACTATAAGGCAAAAAGAAAGTGCAGCTTTATGGTTTCA